AGGCAGCTTTGTAGATGTTGGTGACCTTCTGGAAGCTCACAGAAAGGCAGTGACTCTCAACTATTAACACTGATTGAACTTGGAGACTCATATAAATTACAGCTGGAATATTCAAATTCCCTACAAACAAACAAACAAACAAAAACACCAACCAGACCCCTCATGATCTTGGTTCATTTCAGAGACTAGCACGCAGTGTTCTTGCTTTAATGTGACAGTGGTTCCTCTGCCCCAAACACACCAATCTGTGGCTGCTATTGGTGTATTGGAATTTATTTTCCAGTGGGATTTCTGAGAGATTTTTATTCTTCCTCTACTCTGGCTGAATTTTTCATTATATATGGAAGCCTCAGTCATGTTTTCCAATATTGGCTCTTTATTAACACAATTCAAGATTCTTTTGGATTAGAAAGGTGTTCAGATTAAACAAAAACTGGCATGATTAGAATTACTCAGTTTTGCTGAGAGCTTTTAACAAATGTTTTTTAATATTTAGATTTGATTGTAGTGCACATTTTCCAGGAACTCAATCTTTGTTCTTTTTAAAATGATTCTTCAAATTTGTAAGATTGTACTGTTTGTTATTGTTGAAAAAAATTTACATAGTCACATACCAATTTTAAAGATGATAAATAATAGCCAGGATCATATGTTATTTGCCATGGTGCACTACAATTAAGAAAAGAATGGGGTTCAGTCTTATTAAGAGATTTCCTTATTCCTTATCACTTTGAACACATTAATATGTATTATTGAACATATTCAAATACATATATGAATTATACACATGTAACTGTAGATAAACTCTAGAACTTGATGTGTTATTTTTTTATAGTTACCCAATAGACCTTTCCTTCTTAATATAGCAAGTAAATAAAAAGACATCCACAAATATTTACACAGATTGTATATCACAATGAAGAGATTTGGAGTTGGGTATTTGGGTACTTCGCATGAGGCTTATATGGTGTTATAAGTGAGCCACGACTAGAGGCTTAATATCCAGACTGAGGAAAGTAGTGATCATTGGCATGGTTGAAAGTATTTATTTTACCACACAACGCTTTAGTGTTTTTAGTGTTTCCTCTGTGTTTCAGACACTAGGCACACAGAGGTGAAGATAAAAGCCCTTGACATCCAGGAATGTAAAGTATAATCAGCAAAAAAGATAAATAAATGCAATGAGATAGTTTGATTAATAACTATCCTTTTTGAGAGTTTCTTAACAGCTCAGAGAGCACCACTCAAGTGCACCAACTTTATCACCCCAATTTCTAGTTGAGGCATTTAGGAACTAGCTCAAAATCACACAGCTACTGGTAGAAGTAGGCTTGAATCCAGATCTCTTTTATCCAAAGCTTTGCTTTTATCTTTAATATTCATACGTATTCTACTGGAGAGGGAGTAGAAAGTACCAAGGGAAATTGATTTTCTTGGCTTGGGGTGATAGTTGAAACTTGGGATGTTGGGTGTGGATGAGTATGTAGAAGCTCAATAATTGGTTGTGAGTAATAAGAGTATCTAAGGTGAGTAAGTAGTATGTGTCATGCATGGAGAAATTTCAGTAAATATGACATTTTGAAAATTAAAAAGAAGTTCACTGTGACAGGAGGACCCACTTCATTTACCTGCCTTCATCAAATTTTCCAATGCCTATTGCCTGTAAGGAATGTTCTAAGTACTGGTAACACAATGGAATGAGTAAATGGAGAATTGTAGGAGATATGGACCCTTATCTGTCCTTAAAGAGAGAATTTTTCTGTGGTTCACTAAAGACCTAAACTATCTATGGATGATTAAATTGTTTTACTTACTTCTTAATTACACAAGTAATTATGTGTGTGTGTATATATATATAGCTGGAATATTTAAAGCAAACTTAAGATATATCATTCCACAAGGGATATACTATAGAGAGAGATTTCTGTTTAGAATATAGTTAAGAATACTAATAATTTGAGCAGCACAGTCAGGAAAAAGCTGCCTAGCAGAGTAATGGATGGACATCACTAGACACCTTGTGATACCTGACAAGCATCTTTTGTGGCCTTCTGCAAGGAGAACTGGAAATGAGATGAGGTGGCCAGTAAATGACTTTAGAGTTTTTCTTGATCTAAGATTCTACCTGGTTCCCATTGTGTTCAGAAATATCTATAATGAATGAAAAAAGAGAATAAATAGTAAAAATAGTGTTTGCATGCATTTATATTGAGAAACAGTTATATGAATAGGCCAAGGACATTTATAAAATTGATTTAAGGTATAATTTTACTCAGTTTTCAAAATATTTTATTGCATCTTTTTTCTTAGCTGTTGTATATTGTATTGCTTAAAAATTACTGAGTGATGAGCTTAATAAATATATACAGAGTCCTCCACCCAAAAAAAGCAGAATACATATTCTTTTTAATTGCACAATGGGACAGTCTTCAGGATAGATCACATGTTACACCACAAAACAAGTCTCAATAGATTCAAAAATTTGAAACCATATCAAGCATCTTTTCTGACCAAAACACTATGAAAGCAGAAATCAAGTATAAGAAAAAAACTGGAAAAAAAGCACAAAACACATGGAGGCTAATAACATACTTGTAAATAAACTAGTGGGTCAATGAGGAAATCAAAAAATACCTTGAGATAAATTTTTATAGAAACATAGCTCTCCAAAATCTATGGGACACCACAAAAACAGTTCTAACAGGGAAGTTTATAGTGATACAGGATTACCTCAAAAAAAAAAAGAAAGAAAGAAAATCTTCAAACAATCAAACCTTACATGTAAAAGAACTACAAAAAGGCCAAAAAAGAGCCCTAAGTTAATAAAAGGCAGAAATAATAAAGATCAGAGCAGAAATACATGAAATAGAGACAAAAGGTTAATGAAACTAAGAACTGTTTCTTTGGAAAAATAAATAAACATTCAGCTAGTCTCAATAAGATAAGAGAGAGGACTCCAATAAATAAAATCAGAAATGAAAAGGAAGTTACAACCAACACCACAGAAATAGAAAGGATTGTAAGAGATTACTATTAATAAATTACTATTATATGCCAACAAGTTGGACACCCTAGAAGAAATGGATAGATTCCTAGAAATATATAGTCTTCAATGACTGAATCAGGAAGAAATAGTAAATCTGAACAGACTGATTACTAGGAAGGAGATTGAATCAGAAATAGAAAAAACTCCCAACAAACAAAAGTCCAGAACCAGAGAACTTCATGGGTGAATTCTACCAAACATTTAAAGAAGAGTTAATGCCTATTCTTCTCAAACTATTCCAGAAAATGAAGAGGAAGGAGTGCTTCCAAATTTATCCTACAAGGCCAGTGTTACCCTGCACCAAAACCAGAGAAAAACACTACAAAAAAGAAAATTGCAGGCCAATATCCCTGATGAACATAGATGCAAAAATCCTTAACAAAATATTAGCAAACCGAATTCAACAATACATTAAAAGGATCATTCACCATAATCAAGTGGAATTTATTCCAGGGATGCAAGGATGGTTCAATATCACAAATTAGTCATTGTAATACACCACATTAACCAAAGGAAGGATAAAAATCATATGATCATCTCAATAGATGCAGAAAAAAACAGCAAAATTCAACATCCATTTATGACAAAAACACTCAACAAAGTATCAAGAGAACATACCTCAACATAATAAATGTCTTATGTGAGAAACCCACAGCTCATATCATACTTAACAGTGTAAGGTGAGAACTTTTCCTCTAAGATCAGCAATAAGACAAGGATGCACACAGTCTCACCACTTTTAATCAACATAGTACTAGAAGTCCTAGTCACAGCAATTAGACAAGAAAAAAAAGGCATTCAAATTGAAAAGCAAGAATTAAAACTGAGTGTGCATAGCTGGTCTTAAGCTTTACTATACCCAATTGTCTTTCACAGTTGGTGGGGAGAATGTGTGGTAACAGTACAGTCCTCTTGTAGTCTCCTGATTAAATAAGCTAATGACCTGGAGGGGAAAGAAAAAGAAATTACAGTTTTATAAGAGGAAGAAAAATTTTTAAAGAGTGCAATTGCAAAGTCTCCTTGGGGAATTGGCAACCTTACCTTAAGATTTATAGTGAGTATGTTTCCCTGAGACAGACATTCATCTGTCTTAAGTATTGTCTTTCTAAGATGTGCTTTTCAATTTTGAATTATTTCCTTTGAGGCTGAGGTTTCTAATTACCACCATAGTAACCAAAATTTCTTCACAGATTTTCTTAGAAATATTTGTTAATTAAACCAAGTGAGATCTGTAGATTAAGACATTGATCATGGTCCAGAAAAAAAGGGTATAATGGAGTTAGATCAGGATTTCAATTATGGGTCTGCTACTTATTATCTGAATCCTTCATCAACTCTTTGAGCCTTCATTTCCTTAGCTGTAAAATGGGGTAAATAATGTCCATTGTACTTATTCCAAAGATTAACTTAAATGATCAGTAAAAAGCCTCTGCCTTGTAATAGATGCTCCGTAGTTACTGGTTCCTATCTTAACATTAGCACATGGTTGTTGTTAGTTTTCAGATATTTGGACTTTAATTGGGGACAAACTTGTATTAGATGTCAGTTGGGAATAATGATGAAGATAGGAAATACTGACATACTGCTTTACTGTCTGCCCCACACTATTTGGTCACTTTACCTTTATTAACTGATTTGACCTCAGGACAGCACTGAGAGGTTGATGCAAGTGGAACGCCCATTCTACAGATGAGGCGGGGAGTCAGAGGTGAAGTAACTTGCCCAAGTTTGTACAGTTTGAAAGTGGCCAAACAAGAATTATAGTCTTAAGAATTTCATTTTTACAACTCCAGAAAGTGAAGCCTTGATCATAGACTTCTATGTCAGCATTTGGATATTCCCAAATTATGTGTAGAACATGTCACCTGGCATGGTTAACAAGATTCTCTACCATTAGCTAATATGTTTTTAAGTTGTTTTAATGCTCCACTAACCAATGTTTCTCTCTTTTCAGCCTGTGAGGTCGAAGCAGGGAAAGTGTACCAGGTATCCTCCAAAGAGCACATCCAGCCTTTCAAAGAGAACATGGAACAATTTATTATTCAAGGTAAATTCAGAAGAGATATATTGTGCTTCCATCTCTTTTCGGCAGAAAGGTAGAAGTAATTTTTAAAAATACGTGTTGGTTTAAAAGGGTTTATTTTGACATCACAGAAAAACAAATGATGTTTAATCATGAGTCACACAACTGTAAGAGACCAGCAATTTTCTAAACATGCAATTTTGTGGATAATACTCTGTGTTTTTAATAATAGTAAATACAACAATAGTAAATAGTAAATAGATATTGGTTACAACAGCACAAATTTATAAAGACAATCACATTTTTGTTTTTTCTATAGAAAATGAGATATTCTTCTGAGTTTTAACTGTGCTTATGCCTTTTCAGTTCAACCTGATATTTATTCAGTTTTTCAAAACCTTGTGCCCCAAAACAAAGCATATGGATGTTTGTCAGAACCTCAAAACATTATCTTGTATTTTCTTACAGGCTGTATAAGTATCTCTAATATTTAACACCTTTTCTCCAGGGAGCTTAAAAAGTTTATCTCCTGTTTGAAATCAATGAAACCTACAATTACATCTAGGCACTCACTACTCAAAACATTTCTGCTTTAAAATGTTACATCTCTTCTGAAGATCAGATTTGTATCATGCCATGCTCCGGTAAAGTTCTTCCTGTCAGAAATTCTCCTAGAGGCTGATGTGCCATGGGACTGAGGCCAAGTAGCACTGTGAAGACTGTCTTCATCCTGTTTATTAGCCTGTGGTTTTTAATAAGTTGTTCAAGTATCATTAATGATGATTTATAATGAATGAATCATACTGAGATTTGATTAAATGTTAAGTACAGCTATTTTTAAGATGGGAAAGTACTATTTAACATTTAAGATAATCATGGAGACTGAAACAGAACTTTTAGTCAGATTCATAATTCAAAGTGGTTGTTGTTTCCAAATTTTCAGGTGCTCATGACTTAAACTGGAAAATTTATCTATCCATTGATTCCTTAATAGTCCCTTGACTGTAATCAGAGTCCTGTCATTCCATAGGAGAGGATCCTGTAAGCTCACCCCACTCTTATGGGAAATAAAAATGAATCTTGTTTTTTCCATCCTGGGGTGAGGGGGGTGGTTTAGGATCAGGAACATGTAATTTTGGAGAACTGTATAGGTAAAGGATGGAATATTCTTTTTTTGCTTTTGGGAAGAAAGGAGTTCTTAGTTCTGTAGTTCATTAAAGAAAGAAGTCAAATTATTTGCTGAATTTCGAATCTAAAATGTTAATAAGTATCACTCATATAGTTCACATAGTATGTGATATATATTATTTTGAATCTGGATTCTATAGGCAAGGCACTGAAATTTTCTTTTGACTACATCTTAGTCATTTTTTTGAGTGAATAGCCAAATCATGTTTTGCAACCCAGGTAGAATTTAGGAATTGTGCTTAGAAACCACACATGATCAGCCATATCTGATATCTTTGGCAATCATTTATAGTGATTTGAAGGCAGGGTAGAGACCTTAAGGAGTTGTCTAATATTTCACTTGTATGGAAGACAGAATTGTCCAGGCATACCAAATGCATAAGCATGTCTTCAGATTTTAACCATCTCCCAGGAAGATCTTTTAACTACTTTATTCAGATATTAGTAATTCTTATACTTCTACATGTGAAATGAAATGGCAAGTGTTGTGAGGATAGTGACTTATATGTTCTTAGAGGCATGAAATGCCTCACCTTTTTGCCAATAGGTTAAACAATCGTAATTATGTGAGTCTTTCTTCACGGCTTCCAGCAGTTTCAATTAACTTTTTATTTCTTCTCTGGTCCTGTTCAAGTGTTCTGTGATTCTACATTCATTGAAAAAAATGTTTGAATGCCTACTCTCTGCCTAGACATTCTTTTGGGTGCTGATTTGCAGCAGTGAATAGGAAAACCTGTGTGTCATTCTAGAGCTTACATTCTGCACTACCTGGGAGGCCGGTAAGGACAACGGCAAATCCTTTGGAAAAACTTGTGTAGATCAAATGTGTCAGATGAAAGTAAAAAAAGTTCTGGTTTGAACATGGTTGCTCACAAGCCTGTATTCAGTGACATATAATGAAAACAATGGATTTCACAATACATTTCTCAAAAGATGAACTTTAAAGAATGTAGCCAATTTGTTTTGTCCTCATATTTTCTCTAGTTATCAGGACCAAATTCTAAAATTAAATTTATACATAAAAAATGTATTCTACCTTAGTACAAATAATCTGGGTAAAATCTTTGCTTATCATTACACCTTTCTCAGTCATAAAATAATATTCTTACATTAACCTCTGTGCTCAGATTAGTTTACGTGGGCATAGTCATGTTTCTATGTATCCCATCAGAGTCTTTTTTGATGAGCCTCACTTTCAAAATCTAAAATCTCACTTGAACCATTCAAGAGACTAGACCCAATATGTCTAAACATTTTTATTGTATTATCTCCCACAGTATAATGGAAACATCTTTTATCCCTGTAATTCAGCTACCGTGTGGTCTATGGGCCACCCTCTTAACAGTCTGTGGATTTCACCTAGCTTTAGAATCCATTGATCCACCCTCTTCCAGTTCTTCTCAAACCAAGATTTCATCCTCTCCGCTTAATCACTTCTTCCTTGGGACTGTGTCTCACTTCTGCTTGAGAATAGGCATATTTAGAGAACTGAGTCCGACTACCATAGGCATTCATTGTTTGTAATGGTGCTAGCTATGCACTTTCCTTGGGAGAATTGAGAATACAAGGCTAATAGACAATGTTCTCAGATAATGTTTTGACCTGCGCCCAGCTTTATATACTTTGTAACACATACCACTTTCAGCAGTTGTATTATTTATTAGTCCCTCAACAATGTCAGTTCCATTTTCTTTGGTTCTTGCAGTATCCTTACACCTAGAATAATGCCCAGCACATAGTATGCATTCTTTTGCTCTCCAGGCAAAAGCCCAACAGCTCTCATTAGGCCCATCCCTTTGCTGTCTCCATATCTGCATTGGAGTATCTCAACTTTGGGGGGTGGGGTGGAATATTGGCCTTTACAAAACAATACTAACTGGTGTCACCTTGAAGTCATTACCACAGGTCAGCTCACTTCTGCTAAGCAATGCTATATGATTTCCCTTGCAAATTTTGTTTTCTCAGTTTCTGTAATTCGTTCCTATCTTCCTCTCAAATCTCTACAATCTTCCTGCTTCACTACCTATGCCTCTGATAATAACCTCACTTCACACTGTGGTGAGAAAACAGGTGCTATAGTACAGAAGCTCCCACACTGCCCACCACACCTAAAAACCTGGCTGTAGACCTTGGGTTTCATCCTGAATTCTTGTGGAGCAGAGATTTAAAGATTTGAGAGATTGTGGCAGCAGCTGGGAAGGGCTGTGTGGAGGCAGGCTGGACTTGGAGATGGGAGACAATTTATGAAATTATTACTACACACTGCTAGAGAAATGAGGAGTCCCTGTTTCTTCTAAGGAATTATTATGGTATTATGATGCTGGAGAGAGGGTAATTTGAGGGATAATAACAGAACGGGAATGACCTGGTGACCAAATGAACATTGAGGGAATGGGTAGGTGTCCCGATTTCCGTTGTGAGTGGCTGGGTGAGGGTGGTGTTAGTCACTGGGATAGAGGATGTAAATCTAGGAAGAGATTTGGATGGATAGCATGGTCACCATGTCAGTGGACACACAGGTGGACATTCCCAGTGAACAGGTGCATATGTGCATTAGACATGCGGGAGAGCTGAAGTGGAGGATTGGACATCATAGCAAAGTGATTATTGAGTGGATATGATCACCTAGGAAGATAAGAAAAACAGACTTAGAGGTAGAATTCTGGAGGAGAATACATTCATAGGACAGAGAGAGTAAAGAGAAACCCCAAGAGGTGTTACCAGTATAGGTAGGGGGAAAACCAAGAGAGGCAGGCTGTGGAGGAAGCCACATTAGGAAGCATTTCAGAAAGGAGAAATGATCGCAGTGGTACATGTCCCTGGACGGAACAGTTTTCTTGGATCAGCATGAGCAGAAACTAGTTTTCTGTGCTTTTAATATTTATAAGAAGTGAGGAAGTAAAAGGACACAGCTCTGCCTTGATTTTAAGAGTTACTGCAGGAGAACAATGACTGGTGTGTGTTTGACTTAACTGTTTAATCAAAGTTACTGTAATTTAGCTTATCTGTAACTTACACCATGATTTTATTTCTGTGCACGTGTTTTGGAGAAAATTAATTGGTGATCCCTAAGTGGCTATTCAGCATTTATCTGCAGTTTTTGTTAAACTTCTTCTGTGCCTCTTTTTTTTTTTAAGTAGCAGAAAGTGAGAGGTAGGAAAGATGGGATCACTAGGGGGCCACATGCTTAGCAAATCTTTCTCTCAGAACTCAGCACACCCCTTCCTTCTTTTTTCTTCTCTTTGAATCCAACTTGTATTTTGGACAAAGTGTGCCTATGAAAACCATATTGCTGAGCCATAGAAGCTCCCAGACATGGTGGATTGATTGCCTTTGTATGTATCTATGGGTGTTGAAGTTGCTGGGAAAGACAGAGAGCCTAGTAGTTCTCTGTTGTTGGGCTTCATATCCTTTTTGCTCATAGGGCACATTTTGATAAGTATATATTTTAACACTTAAGCTCAACTATCTCTGGAGCAGATGGCAAATTTTAATAAGAAGCTAGGTCCTCTCTATGCTATTAAATGAAGCAAAGTCCTTATTGTGATTTTGTCAATCAGAAACAGCTAGTGAGATTTTTTCATTAGCCTCTCTCTCCATACCTCTGCTCTTTTCCTAAACACTTCTTCCTTATATAAAGCAGTAAATTGTAGCTGAACCAGAGGCATAAAATCAAGATGAAAATGCATAAATCTAAAATCACATGCTTATGAGTAAAAGGGTGCTGAAACCTCAACTCTTAAACGCACAGTCTTTAGTATTGGTAATTCTGTGATGGAGAATGAGAAAGCAGTGGGTATTAAGTATGCCAAAGACTGAGAAGTCTGCTACAAGTG